GGGGGGGATTTTTAGTAAGTGTTTTACGGCACCTACCTACCTGCCTCCCTAGACATAGGAAATACTCTATACAGCGACAAAGCACAGCTGATTAAAACATGTAAATTCTTTGCCATAGACCGAAGGACTAGAAGCCAAATCGCCGCTGGATCGAAACAGTAAAGTAAAAGTAAAGTATGGCACTTGCAACACAATAAGGTTATATAAGTTCCGAAGATTAGAGGTGTTACAAGAGAGTAACAAACAAAAAAAAGTAAAGGAGGAAAGATCCAGGAATTAAGATGTTTGATAGGAAAGAAGGAGCAAACCACACCAGAGCACCCACCAACCAACCACGGGGGGAGAGAGGCAGCGTTATTTTTAGTTTGGCTTTAGTAAATTTTTTACAGTGCTCGCAACTGCATAAGGTCATATGAGCGTCAAGGGGTAGATGTCAACAGAGAAGTCCAAACAGGGAATCAGGCTTACTCTCCTCACCTCTCTAGCATCAACAGCACAAAGTCTGCTTCGACTATCAAGACACCCCGGAAACAGCAGTTCACAAGAGAGTGACGAACATACAAAAGAAGTAGAGAAAAAATTACGATAGTAAGGATGGGGAAAGAAAAAGCAGCAGTTTCCCCCTATATTGTTCCGGCACAGTATGAGCATGACATTGATAAATCAGCCCATTTACAATTCTACTGTGCATAAGAACATGTTAATATTCAATTATTCCCCCCCCCTCCCCCCCTTTTAGGAATGGCCTAAAGACACTTCAGTCAGTAGCACTGCCCTGGGGGGTGGAGAAGTGGTGTTGCTTGTCACAGAGACACAATCTACAACATCAGGAAGGGGGGCTGCTGTAGTGTAACCCAGGAGCAAGCACGGCAGTAAGTAATAAGTAAAGTGGTTCTGGCATCCGACCCGGACATTGGGGAGTGTCTTGTTAGTGAGACAACTTCCTGGGACTTCTGCATATTATAGTAGGGTGGCCAGTTCCTTTCCACGCTGCCTTTACTTCCCCAACTCGAAGTCAGGTACCCATTACTGCTGGGTGGGCAGGAGGGGGCTAAGAAAATCCGTGTCCAGACCGAGTAAGTATGTAAGTATATAAAGTGTTTAAGGCCACAGGCCCACATCATATCATATAAAACACTCATTTGATAAATAAAGTTTCCATAATGAATAAGAACAGGTTGTGCACATATCTCTTATCGAGGGTAAAACATTGCATATTTCTGTCACTGGGCTGAGTCAGGCTGGGAAGGGGCACTCATATGACCTTATGCAGTTGCAAGCCCGGCAAGAAATCAACTAAACTAACTAACTAAGACTGGGGGGAATTAGCAATTTCCTTTGATGGACAAAGTGTGTACAATAGAAAAAGTGAAATTAATTCATTTCCAATTTCATGAGGGTTACACCTCTCACAAGAGCAAGCATGGCAGAGTCAGGAGTAAGATCTCAGCAGACAGAGACGCTGGGAAAGAAATAACTTCCTCTCTGAATAATAAAAATGTCCATGTTTCTCTTTATCAGAGTGTATGTGCGTAAGCTAGCCAGCCCCTGCGTTTGAGAATATCGCGACCTCAGTGCTTTCTTGTCCTATCTCCATTTTTAATAACAGTTCATAACAAAGAGTGAGCTTAAGAAGATGTCACATTATCAATGTTTAAAAAAAAAGGAGATAGGACAAGAAAGCACTGAAGTCGCGATATGTTGATGTTTCTCTTTATCAGAGTGTACGTGTGTAAACTAGCCAGTCACTGCGTTTGAGAATATGTTGAAGTTTCTCTTTATCAGAATATATGACAATGTGTGTAAAATAGCCAGTCACTGCGTTTGAGAATATCAGCGTGTATGTGTACGTGGGTAAACCACCAAGACTAGGTTTGAGAATATGAGAACATTATGTTGGTATTTCTCTACATCAGAGTGTACGTGTATGTAAACCAGCCAGTCACTAAGTTTGAGAATATTCAGTTCATATTTCTCTACATCAGGGTGTAAGTGTGTAAACCGCCCATTCACACAGGAATAGACATGATAAATACAGACTTCAACATAAGTTAAGGACCACCTTGACAGACAGCCCTGATTTTTTTTTAAAACTGAAAAAAAAAAGAAAAAAGACAGCAAGGAATGTTTCAAAATTTTTGGCTCTGAAAGTGTTAATGGGTTACCAATGCGTACTGCGAAGTTTCCTAAAGGTGCAAAACCACCACGTGCAACACGGAAATCATCAGGGAATTTTAGCCAAATTTGCAGTTTTTTTAATCGACTTGTGTGCAACACCAAGGACATAACACAATTAAAATTTCTGGTGCATGTCATAAACGGACATACGGTCTCGAACTGAGCTCACTTTCGTGGCAATATATAAGCTGCCGTTTGCTCAAAATCCAGTATCGCATCAACCTGCCACCAAGACGAAAGCTGAGAGACTTTGATCGTGCCAGAGCTATGACATGGCTGCAGGATGGAGTTGGAGAAGTTGCCAGAAGGCTTGCAGTGTCACACTCTGTCATTGTCCGCCTGAGGCAGCGCCATCAAGCCACTGGATCAGTCCAAGAATGCCCATGTGCAGGTCGACCCAAGAAAGAAGACCACTCAGTATGCAAGTGGCCCTTAACTTATGTTGAAGTCTGCATATCACAGGAAAGTGTTGAGCGCCATCATAAAGCAATGACCAAACACAATGACTAAGCACAGCCACTAAAAACGACCAAACAACGACGTAACATCCACTTAATAATGACTTAACCATGACTAAATACATTGACTAAATACCGACAAAACAACAACTAAACAACGACTAAACAATGACTAAACAACGACATAACAACAACCAAACAAAATGACTAAACAACTTAACAGCGACGCAACAACAACTTAACAACGACGTAACAATGAACAAACAACGACATTACAATAAATATACAATGACTAAACAACTTAACAACGACTAAACAATGACGTAACAACAACTAAAACAACGACCAAACAACGACTAAAACAACGACAAAACACAACGACCAAACGACCAAACAAAGACCAAACAACGACGTAACAATGACTAAACACAACGACCAAACAACTAAAACAACGACCAAACAATGACCAAACAACGACATAACAACGACCAAACGACGTAACAACGACAAAACACAAGGACTCTTCTCCCCACCGGCCATCCTTGGTGCTGATGGCGGCCATTGCAGCGGACAGGTTGTTCTGCTTCTCGTCCACCTCCTTGATGAGCGTCAGCACCTGGGAGCGCATGATGGACAGGTCCTCCGTGTTGCTGGCCTGGATCGACTGGACACACAGGGGGAGACAATTAAGTGAAATGAGGTGAGATAAGTCAGATGAGATGAGAAGATGAGATGAGATGAGATAGGGTCAGATAAGTAAGATGAGAAGAGATGATATGAGATGAGATAAAATAAGATAAGATTAGATAAAATAAAATAATAAGATAAGAGTCCAAGAGCCTAACCACAATATTTTGGTTTGGTCGCTGGCCTGCAGAAGTGCCATGCAAAGTTTCGTGGGCAGCTAGATTAGTTAGCTTAGTTTTGGTTAGGTTTTACGGTGCTCGCAACTGCATACGGTCACATGAGCCCAAAGGGGTGGATGTCAACAGAGCAGTCCAAACGGTGAATCAGGCTTACTCTGCTCACCTCTCTAGCCTCAGCAGCACAAAGTCTGCTTCGACTATCAACGCACCCTGAAAATAGCGGGTCACAAGAAAGTGACAGACATACCAAAGAAGTAGAAGAAAATGACGATAGTAAGGATGGGGAAAGAAAAAGCAGCAGTTTCCCCTATGTTGTTCTGGCACAGTATGAGCATGACATTGATAAATCAGCCCATTTACAATTCTACTGTGCATAAGAACATGTTAATATCCCCCTTTTGGGAATGGCCTAAAGACTCTTTCAGGCAGTAGCACTGCCCTGGGGGAGGACGAAGTTTTAAACATTTTTTATACACTGAGAGACAAAAGTGAACAAGCTGCAGTGACACCTCTAACCTTCAGCACTCATATGACCTATTTGTGTTGCAAGCGGCCTAACACTTTTCCTATAAACAAAAACCCGAGCTCTCAAAGATGGTCTCACCCTGGTGCCCTGTACGGAGCTCTGTCGCGCCACCTCCATCAATTTTGTCTCGTACTCTGCACCGAGCCGAGCGGCCGTCGCTTGCACTTCCTGTCTGGCCTCTTGCAGCTGCTGCTCTGTGTTGTTGTTTTTCACGCTTAGCTCCTTCAGCTGGTCACAGAGTGAGAGGGGAGAGAGAGAACGTTAGAGCAATGGTGAGGAATAGAGAGAGAGAGAGAAAGAGAACGTTAGAGCAATGGTGAGGAATAGAGAGAGAGAGAACGTTAGAACAATGGTGAGGAAAAGAGAGAGAGAGAGAGAACGTTAGAGCGATGGTGAGGAATAGAGAGAGAGAGAGAGAGAGAGAACATTAGAGCAATGGTGAAGAACAGAGAGAGAGAGAGAGAGAGAGAGAGAGAGAGAGAGAGAGAGAGAAAGAGAACGTTAGAGCAATGGTGAAAAACAGGAAAAGAGAGAGAACGTTAGAGCAATGGTGAAGAACAGAGAGAGAGAACGTTGGAGCAATGGTGAAGAACAGGAAGAGAGAGAGAACATTAAAGCAACGGTGTAAGAAAGAGAGAGAGAGAGAGAGAGAGAGAGAGAGAGAGAGAGAGAGAAAGAAAAAGAGAGAGAAAGAGAGAGAGAGAGAACATTAGAGAAAGAAAAAAAGAGAGAGAGAGAGAACGTGAGAGCATTAATGTATAAAAGAGAGAAAAACGAGAAAAATACAGAATTTAGACAGAAAGTTAATTAATAGAATGAAACAAAGTTTTCCTCTGACCCCTGTTAAATTATGTTTCTGTCCGGGGTGACTGACCTGAGCCTGTAGCTGTTCCACTTGAAGGACGACCTGTGCCTTCGACCGACGCTCCTCCTCCATCTTGGCCGCCATCTTCTCCACCGTGTCCAGCACCTCGCTTGACCCCTGGTCGACGACACAAGACACACATGACACACCATACATGACACACAGACAGTGTCAGTCATATGACACAAGACACAGACAGTCTCAGTCACACGACACGACACAAGACACACAGACAGTGTCAGTCACATGACACAAGACACAGACAGTCTCAGTCACATGACACAACACAAGACACAGACAGTCTCAGTCACATGACACAAGACACACAGACAGTGTCAGTCACACGACACAAGACACAGACAGTCTCAGTCACATGACACGACACAAGACATACAGACAGTGTCAGTCACATGACACAAGACACAGACAGTCTCAGTCACATGACACGACACAAGACACACAGACAGTGTCAGTCACATGACACAAGACACAAGACACACAGACAGTGTCAGTCACACGACACATAGCACAAGACACACAGACAGTGTAAGTTACAAGACACAACACGAGACATACGACACAGTCTCAGTCACACGACACAAGACACACAGACAGTCTCAGTCACATGACACAACACAAGACACACAGACAGAGTCAGCCATATGACATGACACAAGAAACACAGACAGTTTAGTTTAAGTTTTTTAGTAGAGTTTGAATCCGGACCTTTGAAAGAGAGGCGAACACCTTAACCTCTAGGCCAGGAGAGTCCCCCCCCTTAGTGCTAAATACTTCTAGAAGTGTAAAGAAACTGACAATTTAGTGCCAGTGGCTTCTAACATTTTTTGAAAATAAAACTTTTCCCCAGGACAGACAATATAAGGCGCGTGCGTGTGTGTGTATGTGCGTGTGTGTGTGTGTGTGTGTGTATGTGTGTGTGTGTGAGTGTGTGTGTGTGTGAGTGTGTGTGAGTGTGTGTGTGTGTGTGTGTGTGTGTGTGTGTGTGTGTCTGTGAGAGTGTGTGTGTGTGTGAGTGTGTGTGTGTGTGTGTGTGTGTGTGTGTGTGTGTGTGTGTGTGTGTGTGTGTGTGTGTGTGCATGCGTGCGCATGTGTGTACGGGGTGAAACGTCAAACCAATGTGCCAGGATCTGGACAATAAAGATGTATCTTATCTTATCTAATTTTATCTTATCTTGTTCATATCTTATTTTGTTCTTATCTTATCTTATTTTATCTTATCTTATCTGACCTTATCTTGTTGTTCTTATCTTATCTTGTTCATATCTTATCTTATCTTATCTCATCTTATCTATCGTCTGACCTGTCTGAACGTCAACTGACCCAGGTCCTTCCAGTTCTCCGAGACGTCCTGACCACCAGCGGCGCCACCTTCCCCTCGGCCCAGTGCCGGCTGCATTTCGGTCGACACTGGCCCAAACATCTGGTCCACCTGGATCTCTCGCTTCGTCGTCTGTATCACTGACTGAAACACACACACGTGCGTGCGTGAGGTGAGGCATCATGGTAAAATCAGATTGTTTGTTTTAGTAGAGGTTTTACGGCGCTCACAATTACATAAGGTCATATGAGCGCCAAGGGGTGGATGTCAACAGAGAAATCTTAACAGGGAATCAGACTTCACTTACTCTGCTCACCTCTCTAGCTTAAACAGCACAAAATCTGCTTCGACTATCAAGGCACCTTGGAAATAGCAGTAAAGAAGTAGAGGAAAAATGACGATTGCAAGGATTAGGAAAGAAAAAGCAGCAGTTCCCTGTTGCAGTTCAGGCACAGTTATGAGCATGACATCGATAAATCAGCCCAATTACAATTCTTCTGTGCATAAGAACAGGTTAATATCCCCCCTATGGCCTAAAGACACTTCAGTCAGTGGCACCGCCCTGGGGGGTGGTAAAATCAGACGCTCGCCAAAATAATGAAATACACAGAAGAAAACAACATAGTTCCCCCATCCCGTACAGCAGTTTTTTTCGATTTTTCTTTCTGTCTTTCTTTTTATTTTTTTTTGACTAATGAACAAGCTTTAAGTGTATACAAATATACACATCTGGTCCACCTGGATCTCTCGTTTCGTCATCTGTATCACCGACTGAAACACAAACATACACACACACGTGCGTGCGTGAGGCATCGCGGTGAAATCAGACTTGGCAAAATAATGAAATATACTGAAGAAACCAAATCGTTTCCCCAATCCCATCCAGCGGTTTTTATCGGATTTTCTTTCTTTTTTTTTTTTACAAATGCACAAGCTTTAAGGGTAGACATACCCCCCTCGCCTCGCCCCCTCTTCCCTCCCCCTACCCCATTTACACCAAATCCTTCCCACTCAATGACTCATTCCCCATCTCACTCCACTTTTCTCTTTCTCTATCCCCCCCCCCCCTCCCGACCTCCCTTTCTCCCTCTCTTCCCTGGTATTTCTCTCATTCCATCTCTCTCTCTCTCATTCCACCTCTCTCCCTATACCTCCCTGTCTCTCTCTCTCATTCCACCTCTCTCCCTATACCTCCCTGTCTCTCTCTCTCATTCCACCTCTCTCCCTATACCTCCCTGTCTCTCTCTCATTCCACCTCTCTCCCTATACCTCCCTGTCTCTCTCTCTCATTCCACCTCTCTCCCTATACCTCCCTGTCTCTCTCTCTCATTCCACCTCTCTCCCTATATCTCTTTGTCTCTCTCTCTCATTCCACCTCTCTCCCTATATCTCTTTGTCACTCTCTCTCTCTCATTCCTCCTCTCTCCCTATATCTCTTTGTCTCTCTCTCTCTCATTCCTCCTCTCTCCCTATATCTCTTTGTTTCTCATTCCACCTCTCTCCCTATACCTCCCTGTCTCTCTCTCTCCCTCTCTCTGTCCTACCTGCATGTGCTGGTGTAGCTTGTGTTCCGCCTGCAGAATCTGGGACTGTAGGGTTCGATTCTCTCCCTCCACCGCCTCCTTCAACTTCTGCTGAGACTCCATGTCCTTGAGCAGCTGTTTGGTCGAGTCGCGGAATTTGCCCACCTCCTCCTCTTTCTGCGAGAGAGACGGAGAAAATTCACCATTAAAGAATCGACCCTAGACCTAGCACACAAGTGTAAAAACAGTCATGAGCATCCCACACTTTTAAAAAACTACATCAACTCTTTATCTCTGTCGTGCCGCTCCCGGCAACTCGCGGCCAGAACAGCAGCTGTGTTGGCGAGTCGCTGACAGTGGCTCGGGCATATTCCTTTACGACGACTTCGAAATCAATTTACTTTTCGGCTATTGTCAAAAGCAGATCTTTTATACCGAAAGTTCATTCATTACATGAAAAACTATCCAAATAGGTTTGTTAGTTTTAATTTCATGACCTAAATTATTTAGTGATGTTTTTGTCATTTTTAGATTTACCACCAAAAAAGGGACCTGGCGTAGTGGGTTTACCTCCCTCGGAGATAAAGAGTTAAAAGAAAAACAACTTGAAAGAAAAAATTGTAGGTGACTTTTACACTGTTAGAGAACCGACCCTAAACCTCACACACAAGTGTGAAAACTATCACGTGCATCCCACACTTTTCAAAAGTTACATTAAAAGAAAAATTAACTTGAAAGATAAAAATTGTAGGTGACTTTTACATCCCCCCAATAAATGAGAAAACTCCTTTGCTCATCACCTCATTAATTACGACACATGGTCGCTTTTTTAAGGACAAGCGGGCTAACCCAGATTCCAGTGGGTGGTTGGCGGTTGCTCTGGTGTGGTTTGCTTCTTCTTTCCTATAAAACATCAATCATCTTTATCTCCCCTCCTTCTTTTTTGTGTTCGTCACTATCTTGTAACACCTCTAATCTTCGGCACTTATATGACCTTATTGTGTTGCAAGTGCTGTAAAACACTTACTAAAACTAAAACCCAGATTTTGGGGGCTTCCAGAAATTTTGACCGACAACAAAACGGCGTTGTCCTACCTATAGGAGAAGTTTGGTTTCATTGGTGTGTATATTTGTTTGGTTAAAGAGAAAACTCTCCTTGTATTTTAAAAATACTGAACAAGAGTCTAAAAACTTTACCTTCGATTTTCTCAAAACAGTATTTTGCGGGATAGCCCCCTTGTGCTTAAAATCGACCATATAACATATATAGGGAGAAGTTGACAGAACAAAAAAACAACTCACTCCCACAAGCGTATCCAAATAGAAAAAGAGTAGAATCACAGACAAAACATATCACTCTATATCCTTTTCTTCTAAGATATTCATTTGACATCCGGTGTGGTTTGCTCCTTCTTTCCAATAAGAAATCTATCCTCTCTATAGCCCCTCCTTCATTTTTGTGTTTGTTACTCTCTGGTAACACCTCTTGTTTTTTTGTTTTAGTAGTGGTTTTACGGCGTTCGCAACTGCATAAGGTCATATGAACGCCAGATGGTAACACCTCTAATCTTCGGCACTTATATGACCTTATTGTGTTGCAAGTGCCGTAAAACTCTTACTAAAACTAAACTGACTGAAGAAGGGACACAGGAGTTGTTGTATTCCGACCCGGTCGATACCCACTTTGAGCAACTCCGCCCTGAGCGTTGCGATACGTTCGTTCTTCTGAGCCACCGAGCACTCAAGGTCAAGGATCATCTGCTCCTTGTCGGCCGTCGCCACAAACACCACCTGCAACAGACGGCAAAAACAGGGAAAGTTGATGTAATCAAACACCACATGCAACTCAGACGACAAAAACAGGGAAAGTTGATGTTGTCACATGCTACCTCCTGTGACTCAGACGTCAAAAACAAGGAAAATTGACAAAATCAAACACCACCTGCAACTTGGACAACAAAAACAGGGAAAGTTGAAGTCATCACATTGCGACCTCAGTGCTTTCTTGACGTACCTTTATTTTTAATAACAGTGAAAACAGTTCATAGATAAGAGCGAGCTGAAGAAGAAGTCACATTTTCACTGTTAAAAAAATGGAGATACGACAAGAAAGCGCTGAGGTAGCGACATGCCACCTGCAACTCAGACACCAAAAAAAGGGAAAGTTGATGTAATCAAACACCACCTGCAACTCAGACAAAAACAGGGAAAGTTGATGTCATCACATGGCGAGTGGGCGCTATAGAACTGACCTACATTAGTATTATCACATCGCTGCCCACTTTTCAAAACCCAAAGCAGACCGTGACCTCAGTGGGTTTTTTATCGCTTCTCCATTCTTTTCAAAAATTGAAAATGTGACTTCTTGTTAAGTTCATTCTTTGTCATGAACTGTTTTGACTGATTAAAAAATGGGGATATGACAAGAAAGCACTAGGGTAGTGACATGCCACCTGAAACTCAGACAACAAAAACAGGGAAAGTTGATAAAGTCACATGCTACCTGTGACTCAGACGGCAAAAGCAGGGAAAGTTGATAAAGTCACATGTTACCTGTGACTCAGACGGCAAAAGCAGGGAAAGTTGATAAAGTCACATGCTACCTGTGACTCAGACGGCAAAAACAGGGAAAGTCGTCGTAATCACATCGCAACCTCACTGCTAACTTGTCATATCTCCATTTTTAATAACAGTTCTAAATTTTTTTCCTGGTCGAATGAGCAAGAGCAAACCTACATTGATATTCCGATATGCTCGTGAGTGTCTAGATCTATACATTGTATGTCATGTATAATAAAGACTGTTGAATACTTTCATTAATAGGAAAAAAAATGTGTGCATGAGAGAGGCAGAGATTGCGAGACATGCTCGGCTGATCAGTGTGAACACAAGTGTTGAAAGGCAGAGATTGCGAGACATGCTCAGCTGATCGGTGTGAACACAAGTGTTGAAAGGCAGAGATTGCGAGACATGCTCGGCTGATCGGTGAGAACACAAGTGTTGAAAGGCAGAGATTGCGAGACATGCTCAGCTGATCGGTGTGAACACAAGTGTTGAAAGGCAGAGATTGCCAGACAAGCTCAGCTGATCGGTGTGAACACAAGTGTTGAAAGGCAGAGATTGCGAGACATGCTCGGCTGATCGGTGTGAACACAAGTGTTGAAAGGCAGAGATTGCGAGACATGCTCGGCTGATCGGTGTGAACACAAGTGTTGAAAGGCAGAGATTGCGAGACATGCTCGGCTGATCGGTGTGAACACAAGTGTTGAAAGGCAGAGATTGCCAGACATGCTCAGCTGATCGGTGTGAACACAAGTGTTGAAAGGCAGAGATTGCGAGACATGCTCGGCTGATCGGTGTGAACACAAGTGTTGAAAGGCAGAGATTGCGAGACATGCTCGGCTGATCGGTGTGAACACAAGTGTTGAAAAGCAGAGATTGCGAGACATGCTCGGCTGATCGGTGTGAACACAAGTGTTGAAAGGCAGAGATTGCGAGACATGCTCGGCTGATCGGTGTGAACACAAGTGTTGAAAGTGCCTTTATCTGTCCCCGCGGTTTTATGCACAAAAAGTTCGGAAATTAGGCAAACTGAGCCCAACAATTTGAAACTATGTGATTCTGTTAATTTTAACAAAATAATAAAGGAAAACATTCAGAAATTACGCCAAAAAATGATCAAATTTTGCTAAATTATGCACGGTGCACAAAACCCCAGGGACAGCTTTATAAAAAAAGCCATTTCTCCATGTGTAAAATGACAGTAGGAACAAAATTCCAGCACCCCTCTAGGCAGAATTGACCGGAGAAATAGTAAATTGACCTTCTACAAAACTCGAGGCCGTTTCCGAAACGAAATTACTAGTATACGGAACAAACCTATAGAACCGAGTTATCTCGGACGTGGGATTGAACGCAGCCCGCGAGCTGTCCGAGATATCTTTTTTGTTTGTTTTGGTAAAGTGTTTTACGGCGCTCGCAACTGCATAAGATCATATGAGCGCGCGGGACACACCTAATATTTTCAGTTGGTAGGAAATTTTGAATTTTGCCCGGGTGGCGGCCGAAGCCTACTCTTATAGATTTTTAGACCACCAAGGGATCTTTAACGTATGCCCTCCGAGATTTTTCGCCCTTGTCCGAGAAGGCTAGGTGTAGATCTTTCCTACCAGAAGATCAGGGGTGTGGCTGAAAGACTGCAGTAAGAAGAAGCGAAGGAGTAGCAGTAGACAGGCTGCATAAAGAATCAGGAGCCCAAAGGAAGGGGCAAAGGAGGTGTGGGGGTGGGGGTAGAAGGAGGAGACGAAAAAAGACGACAGAACATTGCTAGAGAGCAGGAAAGGAGGTGAAAGGAGACAAATTTAGAGAAGAAAATTTTTCGGTTGCTACCCGGATTTGAACCCGGGACCTTTTGAGTGAGAGGCCAACACCTTAACCTCTAGGCCATGAGAGCCCCCCGAGATATCTCTGTCAAGGGATTGAGTGAGTTAAGCGGACTCCACTGTAAATAAATAAAAAGTATCTCATCTCATGTGAGGAACACATCCTTCAGCACAGCAAGACACACACGGCCCTGAGACAGGAAACGTGGCCAACCCCATTGACACTACAGGAGAAGCTATAGGGGCCGACAGATGAACTGAGCAGGACAGCCAAGAGTAGCTGGGCCCCCTTTCAATGAAAGGAATGATCGGTGAATTAACATCAGCAGAAAGTCATTGGCCTACTATATTTACACTCTGCTGGAATGCAGCAATAAATCTTGAGAGAAAAGTGACACATGTGTTTCCAATTGCCAAATATATAATATATGTATAAATAGATTCTCTATTCTGCTTTCATTGTTGTACACTCCAGAATATCAAAGGTGTGGAATCAATGCGCACGGTTAGTGAACGGAAACCTCACTTGTTTACAATGGCGTCTCAGAAGACGAACTTTCCCAAGATTAGATCTAAATGAAACTAAAGAAAAACTGAAAATTAAACTACAGTGACTTCAGACTCATCAATAAAACTGTGCACCCTTCGAATGATTCTGAGCCACTATTAATTTTATCAAATTCGAAAGTTAGGAGGTTGGGAAGTTTTAGGCAGCCAAAGTGACAAACTTCCACAAATATACTGTGTACAGATACTGGACTTCATGTGTGATGCGATCGAGAAGAAGAAGAAGATGCGAGGAACTCACGGCATCAGAGACGTCGTCCCCGCCCGAAGCCTCCAGTCCCACAATGCCCTGTTCCTCCGCCTGTTTCTCGATGTTGATGGCCCGCTGGTCACTGAAGGCCTTCTGTCTCAGGAGGTGACCCTTCTCCTTCTCCAGGGACTGGACCTGGGAGCTCAGGTCTTTCTGGACTCGGAATAAAACACACGCTTCATGACACACCGTCAAACACACACAGTTCATGACACACCGTCAAACACACACTCCATGACAAGACACACTATCAAACACACACTTCATGACACACTGTCAAACACACAATCAATGACACACCGTCAAACATACACTCCATGACACACCGTTAAAAAAACACACTCCATGACACACCGATATACACACACTTCATGACACATGGTCAAACACACACTCCATGACACACTGTCAAACACACACTCCATGACACATGGTCAAACACACACTCCATGACACACCGTCAAACACACACTCCATGACACATGGTCAAACACACGCTTCATGACAGACCGTCAAACAAACACTCCATGACACACCGTCAAACACACACTCCATGATAAGACACACCGTCACACACACACACACACTCCATGACACACCGTCAAACACACAAGGTTCATGACACACCATCAAACAAACACGCTTCATGACACACCGTCAAACGACACACTGTCAAACACACACTCCATGAAACACCGTCTAACACACACTCTATGACACACCGTCAAACACACACTCCGTCAAACACACATTCCATGACTCACCGTTAAACACACACTCCATGACACACCGTCAAACGACACACCGTCAAACACACACTCCATGACACACCGTCAAACACACACTCCATGACACACCGTCAAACACACTTCATTTTCCCCTGTCAGCTGTCCATATGTCGCGACCTCAGTGCTTTCTTGTCGTATCTCCATTTTTTTTGCATTGAAAATATGACTTCTTCTTAAGC